ACTGGAAGAATTTGGAGATATTAAAAAGGCTGCATGTTAAAAATATTTGAAATTATGATAAAATAGGTGTTTCTACAAATGCAAAGTGTTTATTTAAAATTGTATTAACTAAAGGTAAGAAACTGAAAGTTGGTTTTCTTACTTGTCAGGATCAGCTTGTCACAGCTGTTATTTGCACTTCAGCAAGTAGCATGCTGCTCATGATGATCTTTCTTTATAAAAGGATTAAAGCCAGAATTATTCGATGGAGTACCATTTTCTTGACTGAATGTCACTCAAGCGGGTAAATACAAAATAAATTCTTTATTGTTTGGTTAAAAAAATTTAATCAATATTCAGTGTCAAAATGAGCAGTTCTAATTTTATTTAAATGTAGATAAATCTTACTCTAAATTAAATTCAGTAACATTACAAGGGAGAATGGTATAACTCTTCTGAGTTTGCCTCCTCATTGCACACATTGAATGCAGCTGGTACATTTGTCTTTCATGAAACCACTTAATATTTACTATGATCACAATATCAGGAATTGGTTGAGAGCAAATCCTTGGTGTATGCTCACTCAATTTCAAACAGCAGCACTTTTTTCCTCAGCCTACCGATAAAAAACAGGCGTATGGCCAGAAATGTTTTTTCTAAAGCAGAGTTTCTGGCAGCTGAAACTACTGATATTAATTTCATTGAAACAAACCCTGTTCCTGATACATGTGACATGGTTGCTACTAGCTATTTCTGTGCTTCTGTCAGCCATTCATCTGTAAGTATGAGACATGCAATGGTACCTACAACCCAAATGTCTACTTTTAGCAGCAATCTGAATGTTTCTAACTTTCTAATGATTCTAATTGCTTCTACAAGCCAATTTTTTGTTTTTACAAACATTATATCAACTTTTTCCGGCTTTTTATTCATATACAAGCTATATTATTCATATACCAAAAAATGTTTTATATATATATATATATATATATATATATATATATATATATATATATATATATATATATATAGGCAAAAGTAAAAGTTAGGCTAGCCTAAAATTTACTGATTAAATCTTTACTTATTTATTTAGCAAATACCTTCAATAAATATAACATAGAATTTCTAAATTCAAAACATATAACACTTAAAAGTTTTAAATTCATGACATGTTTAATATACCATTTATAAATTTAAAACAGGTAAAATAAATCTAAATTCAAATAAATTTTATTTTTTTATTTTATATTAAAACAAATTATTTTTAATTTAATTTTTTTGCAAAAAAAAAATAAACAAATAAACAAATTAGTACTGCATTTAATTCTTTTGAACATTCGTCAGTAATATTAGAACTGTTTTTGTTTTGTTTTAAGGGAATAGTATTAGTGCTAAATGCAGAATTCAATAACTTCAGGAATAATCATTATTTCAAATTTTTCTTTTTGACGTACAACGTCAGTATTTTATAAAACTCATCAAAATCATTTTGAAAAGTAAAATTCAATTTAATGTTTTATCTTTCGTTCAATAAATAAAATAATACTGTATTAGAAAACTTTTTGAAGTTTTGAACATTTTTATACTGTAAACAGAATAACTAATAAAAAATTAAGTATATAGAAAAAAAGGCGTAGTAATCAGAGTTTAAAGATTTATTAAAGCTGTTATTTAGTATATTATTTAGTAATGAGGTCAATTAAATTTAGATTATTTGTTTTTAAATTGAATGTAACTAAAAAAGAAACATTAAACATTATTTATGTAACTATTAACATATAGACACAAAGATGCAATCAAGTATTGAAAAGAAGGCAAAACATGTTGGATATCTGATTTTTAGTTGTAGGACCCCTTTTATCTTCTTAAATCTCCAATTTTAGTTTACCTTAAAATCAGCTTCCAACTAATAGGTTACTTTTAAGTACATTACGTCAACATTGAATTGAGATTAAAGTGATTCAAAAGTATTTATGATGATTTTTCTTACGCTATTCGATCAGATTTTAATATGAAACAGGAAGGGAAAAACAAAGTTGTTATAAATAAGATTCTGATGCATACTAAACCACTGACGAAGACTTCAATGGCTTTGGAGACATCACAACTTTTTATCAAGTGTTTCTCTATCTAAATGAACAAGATTGTGATGATAATTTATGTTCCACAATTAAATGAATAACTCCGCAAAGTTTTGCTCTGATTTTTGAATTTCAAGGTTGTATCAGGAAAATGGAGAATTGCGTCTTTATAAAAGTTTAGTGGTAGTTATCAAAAATCTTGTGGTTTTAAAACCTATATTATTGGAAATGATAAAACAATATCAAAGTTTGTTAAAACTTACAAAAAATGGATATCAATGATCAAAGGAAAGTTGTTATTTCAGAAGAAAAAAACCTAAGTAAAGTTATTTAAAGAATTTCAATCGATTACCGAGTCTTTTTTTGACATTGGAAAACCCAATATTAAATTATACAACTAGGTCAAGTCACACCAAGAAACAATGTGAGCAAAAAGGAAAATTTTTTTCAACATCTTTAAAACATCACAAAAATGCTAGAAAACAGTTTATAAGCGGACATATTTATTAAAAACTTGAGACAAAGATTGAATGTAGACAACCGTATGTATACTGATTTTAAGAAAGAGGTGTTAATAAAAACCGATGGAAATGCCCAATATTTCTATGTCAAGAAATACGATTACTTGAATTTAGGAGTTTTAGAACCGTCAATTAAAAACTCTGATAGTAATTATTCAAATGAGATAAAATGGATACCTGCATCAGCTAAAATGTATATTGTTACATGTGTGTTTATATTACTTAGTAGATTAAACTGCGAATGTGCTTTTTCTTTTTTGTCAATACTATTAGAGATTTTCAAACTTAACATTGATGTTAGGTAATACATGTTATAGTTCTGATAAGGATAAATTTCAGCTAAAAACACCATTCAACGTTAAAAAAATATATAAAACAAATAATGTACCACTCATGCTGCTATCAAATTCAATCAATGTCAATAAGGAAACTACTTGTGATGACCTAATGGTAACTACAACTCCTTACAGTACCTAAGAATAGAAAAAAATAAAATGAGGAAAAACATAGAAACAGTCATATTGAAGCATTATGAGGTTTTTCTAAAGCACGGAAAAAAAAATTAGAATTATTATAATTTTTTTGTGAAAATAAGAAGAAAAAGTTAAAGTATTATTACAATTTCCGTGGCTTTAAATAGAAAGCCACGGAAATAATATCAGAGTTATTTTGATTATATTTGAGAAATAAATTGAAAAAATTTTGTTCTTTATTTTTGATGGAAACTAGTTACACATTTGTATAAAGAAATTTAACAAACAAATACAAGTGATAGAATTGTAGTTTTTGCTTCTAGTCCTGAATTTCAAGGCAAGGACAATTTTTTTAGGACTTTTTCTAAATAGTACAATAGTATTGCACCTAATCAGACTTAACTAATTTAAAATTTATAAAAATATTTTAATTCTTTAGATCATGCATATGCTGCGTGTTTATACTACAGCAACCAGTACGAGTAAGAAAGAGAGTGCAGTTGTAATATTGACAAGATTATTTCAGAAACTTTAATAGTGTTGGCACCATATACATGAAATACATACTAAACATATTTACAAAAAAGGCCCTCTACTCAAACTTTGAAAAGCAATCAAGCTTTGCATTTTATACATTTGTGATGCTTTTTCTAGTTTTAAAAAGTTTGGTGCCTGTCATCAAGCTAGATTTATGGCAGATGATTTGTATAACAAAGCTTTAGAAATGACATTGCCATTTTAAAACGACTTAAATCAAAACCAGCAGATTCTAGAGTCTAGAGTTAGTCTAATGATTGTTATATATTATGTTCCAGGGTTTTTAAAATCCGGTCTTGCTGATTACATTACACTCAGTATTGAATGACTTCAATTCATTCCAGGTAGCAAAATTCATAAATAAGGAATTGGATATTGATGTAGGAAATTCACTTTTAAAAGGTTAAAAACTTTCACCTGTAGTCATGGATTTTGTTGATTCAAACCTTTTATTTCCAAAAAATCTGACATTTTCAAGACATTGTTAGAGCATGAGCATTGTAACATTAGTGTAATTAATAAAAAGAAGCCACTTCATGTTTTAGTAGATGAAAAAACTAAGCTTTGTGAACTTGTTACCAGTAAAAGCTGATTTTTTGTTGTTTTGAATTTGGTAAAAGAAACAAAAATTTGTTTGGAAGCATCTCAAAATATAAAATATTTTGTATGGATAATCTTTTACAAGAAATTTGATCTTTATATTAAGTTTTTTAACACTTCACACACTTAGAATCCGAGACATTTTACTGATTGTTAGACAAGATTGAAAAAAGATTTTGAAGAATGTTCATCTGAAAGATTTTGTTAATTAAAAATAAATATTATTTGAAATGCAAACATGCATTTTTTTTGTAATCTATTTATTATCTCAGATACTAAAATTAATAATATGTAAAACTAGTTATGCAAACCAACAAGTGTTTCTTTACATTTATTTATTTATATATATTGGCAAAAATAATAATTGTTATTCAAATTATCAAAAAGTTAAATATAACCTAGTACATAAATAAAGGACAAATATTTACCCAGTGTAGTTGGATTATAAAAAAAAAAATTTTAATGTGCAAATGAATTGTCACCGTTATGTGTAATATATTATTTCAAAATAACGGCTAACTGAATCTCAAATAAGATTCAAATTTGCTGACTGAACGTATAAAAAAGGTCTCAATTTAATTCACTAATGAGAGAAGTGGGTTTTAATACAGAATAAGGGCGGTTGGTATCAATACAAAGTTTAAATTTAGGAAACATTTTTAAAATATTGAGTATTCCAAAAAAATATTTTAACTTGTGCTGTTTTTGTTTTTGCATTTCATAACTATGAAAATAACTACTCATATATAATCTTTTAAAAAACGTTTAACCAAATAATAATAAAAAAAAAATTAAAGTAAAAATTTTACCAAACATAATGTTGGCTGAAATTATAAAGGAACACAATATAATAAAAAATATAATTCCAAACATCGATAAAGGATACCATGCAGCTTTCAAAGTTGAAGATAACATTGAAATTCGACGATTGAACCGCAAGAGTTTAATGAACTTCAAAGTTACAAAAAAAACAATAAGCGCGACAATGTTTACATAAGTCAAGTTCCAGTATGATGCAAGCTGGAAGTTAATAAATGTCTCTGGTTTTTTAGTAGATAATCTTTCCAATAACAACTTTCCTAGATAGTCTTAAAAAATAATTTAACAATCTATTTGATAAAGCTTCCGTAAAATTTAAGTGAGAAAGAGTGAAATCTTTAAAATTTTCACTACATTATACAATAAAAGATAAAAGTATAGTAAGCTACCTTTATAAAAAAAAAAACCAACAGCAATGTATGAAAATATTATTATTGCAACCTCAACTAGGTTCCAAAATTCTAAAAAGTATACCCAACCTGTTCGATACAAAAAACGACATTCTCGAACTGTAATCATTAACATAATCAAAATAAACAGTATTAGAGAAACCAACATGGTAGTTTTTGATTCTTTGGTTGATGAGTATAATTTAAAAGTAATAATGGAAGAGTCAGAAACAACTCCACCAGACATTGGAAATTCCAAGACCATTGTGATCACATTAAAATAATTAGTATTACCATTAAACAAAGAAAACTCAATTATAAGAGCTCGTGTTTGTCTATCAATCCATCTAGATTCCTTAACTTGTTCCAGTAAAGCCTTGTTGTTCTGTTTGGGAAAAATTTCTATAACATAACCTCCACCATAGTATGTGTTTAAATCAGTTACATATGGATACCCATCAAGTTCTTGCCATGTTTGATAACTCCATGGAGTTTTTAATGAATTTTTGGATAAATTACTCTGCTTTGGTAAAGTCCAATTTAAATAAAAATCTTTAGTTTCTTCTGAAGCAGAAGCATATTGAGAAAAGCAATCTTTTTTAACATACTCAGCAACCAAGCTGGCTTTTATGCATGAAACTAGAAAAGAAAGCAAAACAAAATGAATACTAAATTAAAAAAATTTGTGTTTAAAAAATTATATTAAAAGTTTTTTTGCTTTTTGACGTAGTTAAAAGGAAATTTTTGGCTAACTCTCCATTAAACTCAAAGGCGGATTTAAACCCGGCAAGTGCTGCAAGTGACGGGGTAATAGAATAAACATAGATATTAGTACTATGACGCCTAAAATCTGCCTTATACTTATTGCCGATTTTTATATTTTTGTTATATTTTGTTAGTAAATACAATTAGGATACAATTAGGTTCACAGTAAAAACTATGTTTTGCAGAGGTTGTAAAAATTGTTCTATAAAAATAGATTATGTAAACTATACTTTGCAGGATATAAGAAAATTATTTTATAAAACTTGCTAATAAAAATTATACTTTGCAGGATATTAGAAAATCGGATAAGGTAATTAATTTACGCTGTTAAAAGTAGCACCTGATTCCTTTAAAAATTAAACTTTTTTAAAAATTGTAGTGTTAACTATACTTTGTAGCATTAGCATCAGTTTTTTGATTGGTTACAAATATACTTCTATTAACAAAGCATTTTCTTTTAATTCATAATATAGAATTTTTGAGTTTTATGTCTAAGCATGGCCTATAACTTAATTGAAGGTTTTCTAAAAAAATTACAAACCCACAATGTTATTGAGGGTTTTGTAAACTGATGAACCTGTAAATATGTTTTTTTAAACTTTATTGGATAAATTTATTAATTACAATAACAAACTGATTACTAATAAAGATTCTTTTAAGTCGTTTTATTGATGACACATTAGGAAAAAATATATATATATGCAGAAGTTTGTATTCTGCCTTCCTTAAAAAACAATAAAAAGCATCGTTTTGCTCTGAGGTAATATGGTAAATATATGTGCAGAAGGATATTTGTGTTAAGGTAAAAATATATGTGCTGAGATAAATATATGTGCAGAAGTTTGAATTCTGTCTTACTTAAAAAAACAATAAAAAACATTGTTTTGCTCTGAGGTAATATGGTAAATATATCTGCAGAAGTTTGTATTCTTTCTAATATAAAGAACAATAAAAAACAGTGTTTCGCTCTGAGGTAAGTCACTTTACTTTTTCTTCGAAAATAATTATCTTTTTATATTTTTATACAATAAATTAATCTGTGTTAATTTTGTAAGCATATTGAATCTAGATTTATAAAAATGTAGGGGCTAAGTATACAATGAAGTATACAGTTCTGTCTCTGAGTATATATGATCTTTCTGCTCAGGTTCTAATTTTATATTCAAAAGCTTTGTTTTCACATTGTCATAGCAATTGACTGAACTTACCTGTTTGTGAATTGTGTAATATCCAATTAGTATCAGAGGTTTTTCTAATTATTCAAAATTAATTATTTAGAAAATAAACAAAGTTTTTAGAAGCTAGTATTTTAGAGCTTGAACCTCAAAAGAAAAATTATAGGATGTTTGTAGAACTAGATGTATCGAGCGTATAGATAGTTTAAACAATTTTCTTGAACATTATTCATCAACTTTCCATGCTTTATGTATCATAGCTTTCCCTAAGAGTTCTGTTAACAAAGACACACAAAATAAATCTTCGAAAAAACACCATTCAAAACACCATTCAAAATTAGATATGCCAACCATATAAAATTATTTAACATTCTAAAATACAAAAATGACACTGAACTATCAAAAGAATTTTGGAAACTGAAAGATGCAAATTTAAATCCAGTTATTAAATGGAAAATAATTAAGCAGTGCAATGCTTACAACCCAACCACGAAGTCTTGCAAACTGTGTATAAATGAAAAATATCAAATTCTGTTTTACAAAAATAAAAATCTACTTAACAAAAAAAGTGAAATGATATCCAAGTGCAGGCATCGAAACAAGTTTCTTCTCGCCCATTTCGACACAGTCGATTAAACAATTTTCTAATTAAAAATTTGTTTTGACGTCAGAACTCATTCTATTGCTTTGTTATTGTTTTTTCTGTTAATTTTTGTATTTTGTATTTTTTAAAGGTTTTTTTCTTGATTTAAAAGAATAAAATATGGCTGATGATTGCTAAAGGGCATGAAACTTTAAGTCCCATCACAAAGTTGTATTTTTTCAAATAATCAAACTCTATTATTATTATTATGTATGTATATATATATATATATATATATATATATATATATATATATATATATATATATATATATATATATATATATATATATATATGGTTTTTTGTTTGTTTCGTTCATATAGCACATATATATATATAGTGTACTATAAACAAAATAATTATATTTGAGTTTCCCTAAAGTGCAATCCAACCCTCAAGCAGACCTTCATGTTTAACCCTCCTAAAACTTAGCAAGAGGAAAAAAATCACCAAATATAACTGCCGTGATTTCTGAAAATATATCCTTAACACTTAAATCAATATTATTTCCTGGATTTTATAATATTAATATAGCTAAGCATACTTAATGTGAGAAGAGTTTTTCTGTTATGTGTCTGTTAAAAGGCTATACAAAAACAACAATGTCAAAAGATCAACTTAACAGTTTTGCATTAATGTATATCCATCAAAAAGGTGTTATTTGTATTGATAATGTTATTAACAGATTTTCTATAAAAAATTGACGACATAAATTGACAACTTATGAATTTTTTTAAAGTTGTTCTTGTGCCATTTAAACCTGTTTTTTACTGTTATTGTATTCAAAAACCTTTCTTTTCATAAGATCAAAAATAATCTTCTTTCTTGTTGTTAACGTTTAACTTGGTTTAACTTTTAAAAATAATTTTATAATATAAAAATATATATAAGCTTTTATTTTGACTATGTTAAAATATCTATTTGTATTTGTGTCTTTCTCATTTCTGTAATTAATTTTTCTATTTCCGATTGTCCATGTCTGGAATAAAATATGTTCCTAGAAATGCTGATGACCCCTGATATTGGGCGAAACAATTATTTATTGGTTTATATGTTTATTATTGTAATAAGTTATACCAAATTCTATTTTATATATTTATATATATATATATATATATATATATATATATATATATATATAATATATATATATATATATATATATATAATATCTATACATATATATATATGTATATATATATATATATATGTATATATATATATATATAATATGTATATATATATATATATATATATATATATATATATATATATATATATATATATATATATATATATATATATATATATATATATATATATATATATATATATATATGTTCTTTAGTTTTGTCACCCAAATGTTGTTAACAATATTGCACCAATACAAAATGTCCACATTTTGATATATATATATATATATATATATATATATATATATATATATATATATATATATATATATATATATATATATATATATATATATATATATATATATATATATATATATATATATATATATATATATATATATATATATATATATATATATATATATATATATATATATATATATATATATATATATATATATATATATATGTATATATATATATTTATATATATATATTTATATAAATATAAATATATATGTATATATATATATATATATATATATATATATATATATATATATATATTATATATATATATATATATATATATATATATATATATATATGTTTTTTAGTTATGTCACCCAAATGTTGTTAACAATATTGCAATATATATATATATATATATACATATATATATATATATATATATATATATATATATATATATATATATATATATATATATATATATATATATATATATAATATATATATATATATATATACATAGCATTAAAATTTAAAAAGTGACACATGAGGAAAGGTTAAACCCGTAACCCTGTTAGCTGCACCTTAAAATTAGATATCTAATACATTCACATGTCAAGAATAATATAATAATAAGAAGAAAATTTAAAGGATTTAAATATTTTATTGCATACAAATAAAGTTTTTATTATGTAATCATTATTTGTATGAGCGTACAAGTAATGCAAGCAACAATAAAAATCATTTGAATTAGCGTACAAATAATGACCTCCCAGACATAAAACATTAAAAGTAAAAAAAATTCTGTGGGGAGGACTTGAACCCTCAACCCTTTCACACACTTCAAAAGAGTGTCATAACATTAACAGTACTACATGAATAGAATGATGAAATAACAATTTAAAACTAAGCCTGCGGACAAGTTACTTTATGAAAAGTTCTGGTCAAGTAAAAGAAAAGATAAAAAATCTGGTCAAGTGAAAAAAGAGTAAAAAATGTATTATTTTTTATTTCTATATACATTTATTTTTTTTACAATAATTGCTTTTTACTGATTTATTGCTTGTGTAACTTATGAAATACCCATTATACATTGTGAGTAAATGCATAGTGATAAAAATAAGAAATAAAACATTTAATTTGATGTTTAAAGTTACCAGTAACAGCAATAACGGCTAATTAGTAAAATAAAGGTTTGGTAAATTTGTTAAAAAAATAACATTAACTTGAGTGCAGTCATTTTAATAACAATAAAAAACAAAACAAAAATGTGATTGAATAAAGAAGCACACACACAGTCACAAAGACAAACGCACATAGTAAACAGAGGATTCAAACATGATTTTATGAAAGTAAGTGATTTAATACATTATATATTTTAGCCAGGCATTTGGCTGTTGCAAGTCAGAAGATAATTACGATTAACACTCAAACCTAAAGGTAAAAAGAAAAATTCAAAATATTCCAAAATATTATTCTGTTGACTTTTGGAAAAGAATTTTAAAAGGAATTATGAAAAAAATATTTGTAAACATTAATGACACGGAAACAATATGGTAGTAATAATACAACATGGGACTGTTATGACATTTATATTATTATAAATAACAAAAGTTGACTAATCAGCTTTACTAAGAGCTACTACTTCAAGAAATTTTACTAATCTAAATCAATTAAGGATAAAAAATCTATATAAAGCAATAGCTACACAAAAATTAAATGTTATATAAAATTTATATTTTCAATTGGTATCTAATAAATTATTCATATAATTTTTTTTGGAATATACGTAATATCTTAATTAAATGAATTAATTAAATAACTGTAATATCTTACTTGGCTGCACTCTAATTTGTCGAACTCGTATTCCATTCACAATCTTTGAGTTAAGATCGTTTAAAAACAGTTTTCCAGGAAAATCTTTTTTTTTGGTGTTTGAATTTAATTCACTCAAATTATACCAAGGATCTGGATAAACTTGAAGTAAAAAAAAATTCTCCATCCAGGGCCAAAAGTCTTTTGACGATTGAATCTATAAAAACAGTGATATGTGAATATTAAAATTATAAATGTGTTATTATTTATTCATCAATAAATAACATACATGTTTATCAATATCAAGTCAATTAAAATCAATTCTATCAAAGAAATATATATTTTACGTACTTCAAAGTACAATTATTAGGAATATCAACTTCATATGAGTCAAAAGAAAAGGGAAAACAAAAAGCTCAAAATTGACAAGACTTCAAATAAACTACTGAAAAATTCAACTGTGAAGATTGCTACTAACAATTCCTGACACACTAGCATCATAAAACATAATTATAATGATATTCATTACAAGTTTTGATGCAAAATATATTGAGATAACTTCTGATAAAATATCTGACTTCTCAATTTACACAACCCATGTTAATCAGCTGATTTTGCACTCCCTCTTTAACATCAAAATAACGAGCCAAATTTGGATATATTTTAACGTTCTTGTGGTTTGATGTATTAGAAAAAATCGACACATATGATGTTTTTAATAACCTTTTTCTGAGTTAATTTTACAATATTTTTTGAACAGGTTTACAATTATTGCTTCACATTTTGTACGCGCACAAGAAAATCTTGGTTTATAAAATTTGTTAGTTAGCTTTCATGTACAATCAGCACTTTGAAAACTGTGATTGTGTTTGATTGTGTGAAATATAATTGTTCCTTCTTGAATCCCTAATACTTTTTTTCCTTTTGACCAAAACTCTGACTCTTCATCAACTTTGCGATTTTGTTTGTGTTTGATAGAAATAGATGTTCAATTGCAGACCGTCCACGACTACTAATGTCAAATAGGCTTTGACAAATAGTACATTTGAGGAGCTCATCTTTATTCTGCGTTTAGAAAGGAAACATTTTCTTTAAATTATAATTAAATGTATTTAACCTTCTCTTCTTACTATTCCTTTTTCGAATTTGATGTAGAATAGTTATAAAACCTTAAATTATTTTTTTATGAACACTTATTTCTATGAACTTCTTATTAAAATAAATCACAAAGAGTTATTTACAATAATTAGGGAAAAAAGACATTACAAGGCAAACAAAATTTGCGTAAAGCGAGCGCATTTTATTTGTTGCAGTTAAAAAAAATTTTCGAAGTTATTTTTTTTCTTCTCTAATGTGAACTGTAAAAACCTTTTTTTTTTTAATTTTAACAGAAATTTAATTCATTTAGTTTCATGTTTTATAAATAAGTATATTGGAATTTTATTCATTTTTTTTTAAATTTTATTTTAGAAAACTCATTTATTAAAAGCCTATCAAATAGTACTTTTAGAAAAAATTATGCTTTTTTTTAATATATAACCTACCGTCAAAAGCTTACTGTAGGCGCCAAATGCGTACATATGGTCACCTTATTACAACATATTAACTACCAAAGTATCATTGGATATATTTGAAGACAGGAGTGATTAAGCATCAGATTAAAATGAATATTAAAATCCAGTTGCAAAGACAGCAATATTGAAATCAAGTTACCAAGACATCAGTGAGTTAGCACCATTTTGCAAAAGACAAATAACTGGAATTAAATGAATATTGAAACCTAGTTGTTGAATCCATTTCTGCACTGACATGTACTCAGTAAAAAAATCATTGTGTCACTGACAACAGTGAAAAAATAATTGGTTTACTGAGTACATGTCTAAATGCAGAGGTGAATTACAACAACCAGTGATTATATTATTGCTTGTGCAACAAAGACGATATCAACAAAATAACAAGCAGCATTTATTTGGGTCTCTCATCTATATCAAGGAATGTCTGGATAGTTGCTCACTCGTATGTTATATTCCTCATATTACCTTATATTCCAATGCATCATAAATGAAGCTGCTGGGAGTACAAAGCTACACCAATAGAACCAATCAACTGAATAAATTATTGTTTAATTATGACTGTAGAGAAGTGCCTTTTGAAATCATTGTTATTATTTTGTATTTTTTATCATTTAATTTAAATCACTTTATTAACTTTATAAACTTTCTAATCGCTTTATAATCTTTTGTTAAAATCACAAAATCATTTTAACAACAGAAAGTTACAACAACCAGAAATTATATCAGTGTTTGTGCTGCAGAAGTTTATGCAATTTACAAGAAATAATTACAATCAGTTTACAGAGCTGGCTGTTGTCTTTCTTGATCATACAACGTGAAGGTAGTCTAATATCTGTCTGAACTCCACCAAAGCTTTGATAGTAAGAATAATACATATACCAGTAACTTTGGAATAGTAATGCTGGTAGTAATATACCAGATATGCTTATAGCAATATTTTTGATATGGGTGAGAGATATAAGCAAGAACTTTGTGTAAATAAAAAAGAATTCTAATGACAAAAACTTTAGTAGGACTACTGGTCCGGAAATACACTAAACAACTGAAAATAAAGAATACTTCAAATGACTGTATAAATGCAGTAACTTAATGCAACTACATCAAATATACAGCATACGAAACAGTTAATAGTAATAGAACTGTCAGTTACAAACATTTTAGTTGATAAGCTATAATACCTTTCCATGAATATTAGTTTTCAAAAAGTTGGGCTTATAGCACAATACATTCAATACATTGTTTTTTATAGCATGTTTAGAAATATATTTGACATTTTGTGTTGATTACACAACTTTCAATTTTTATATTATTATCTAGGATTGAAAAATTTCTATAAATTTTAATTTTTAAATCTCAAAAAAAATGTCAATAAAAGAGAAATATTCATAGAAAACAAAATATTGTAAAGAAATCTTAAAAAATTTAGTTTGCGTCCATCTTTTCTTATCAGTTTTAAGGTTTTTGTTGATGCCAATTATTTATTTTTTTACTATATATATATATATATATATATATATATATATATATATATATATATATATATATATATATATATATATATATATATATATATATATATATATATATATATATATATATATATATATAGGGTGTTACCCAGCCTGATGGTACCGCGGTATTCCCTATTGGTTTTAAATTCCCAAACGTTTATAAGATCGTAGTAAAAAAAAAAAAATTAAGTCAGTCTCAGATTTTAAGTGTCGCGCTAGGCTAGTAAAAATTAAAATGCAAGACGAAAAAATGAATTAATTCGATTGATTTTTTTTTATGTGTAAAAACGTGTTGTCATTAACAAGCGTCATTAACCTCAACAAGATCATTCATTCAAAAGTTAAAAAAAAAAATTTTTTTTCAATTTTTTTGACGTCACTATTCTTGAGTTCAGATTTTTTTTTTTTTTTAATTTTTTTTTAATTGCGCTTTTCTTAAAATAATTAATCGAAGTAATTAAGGCGTTTTGAAAAGCGGCTACAATATCGAAAACAAAGAAAAGTAGCGATTTAAATGAAAACTTTAGAAGATTGCTCATAATGAAACAAGTTGATTAACTAAAATTAAACATATATAAAGTAGAAAAATAATCCTGCTGTAAATGTAACTCCCAGCAAAAATAGAAAATTTATTTTTATAAAAATTTATTATTTTTTTTTTTTAGCCGCACCTATATTCCCAGTTTGGCAAAAACGCTGTATGAAATTTTTTCCTGGGCAACACCCTGATATATATATATAAGTTTAATGTGTATGTGTAATAGAACTTTATGTAAAAACAACCAATCATAAAAAACCTTATAAAAATGTTGACACAGTCAATCATATAAAACGTTTTTTTAAAACAACCAATTATATAAAACTTTAGGTTAGAACAATATGATTAAAAAAAAGTTAAATAAAATTTAAAGTTTTGTTAGTAAAGAAACAGTAGTGTTATAATGTGTACTTCATTTTATTATGTTAAAAAAAATTAAGATAATTAAGTTGAAAAAAAATACAAAAAGTGGTAAACAAAATAATGCAAACAGTCTACTTTTAAAGTTAAATTATATAAAACTAAATTCTGAAAAATTAAAAAAAATTAAAAAATTAAATTTAATAATTAGTTAATTTAAAACTATTTTTGAAGTTTAACCACAAAATATAAATGATTACATAAAGCAAACCTTGTTAAAATCTGTACAATCCGGATATGAAACATCTGGCCTCAAATGCAAGTTAAAAAGATCTTTCACATTTTTAGTCTGAAAAAAAGCAACATCTTCACATGTTTGATAGGCAATGAAGAACACTAAACTTGCATATAATGCATACATAACAAGTTCTGCAATTAAAGCATTCATCTTTTGGTGTTTCACTCTTAATTCCCTTATCATATTCAGTATTTTTGGATCAATGGGTTGAAGTTTTAAATGATCTTTTTTTAATATTGATATTTCATATTTCATTCTGTGGAGCCAAACTTCATTATATGACAAGACTTTATTATAAAAGTAAAAAATAAACTTAATAGAAACCAAAATATTCGAAATTATATTATTAAGAATAAATTTACATTTAACTGATCATGTTAAAATATTAGGAATAATAAGGAATCATCTCTGTAATACTTAATAAGGAAAACAATTATCACTGTAGTGGTTAAATATAAAAGGAATAGTAAATTTTTTATAACATTCAGTAATACATGTAATAGGTCTGCCTAACAATAGCCTGCTGTGATCAAGTAAGCTTCCATACCTGCATTTTCACCTTCAATAGTTTCTTCATCAATTTTTTTATCAACAAGTGATGTTATAATCGCCAAGACAAAAATTTTCATTGGTTCAGTTATAAATGTATCTTTAGCCTAAATTAGTTTTGTAATTAACTAGATTTTTATTATAATACAAAAATAGCATACATTGTAAAAAAATGTAATAGCAAAAATTTAATATAATTTTGCATGAAACATTTTTCATTTTGCTCTTCTAATGCATTGTCATAAAATATTTATACTTTTAAACAGAATTTTTAGTTTAAGCAAATACAAAATTTTTACTTTAAATATTTGATTATTTTTTTAATTTTTATTTAAATTTGTTTAGTTTTTTTTTTTTTAAAAAAAAAAACGAAAAAGCCTTTGCAGTTTCCAATAACTTTTTTTAAAAAAATTAAAAATTATTTTAAATGATTAAAAAGAATTGCTAAAAACAAAAAAAATATCTACATGATTTAAAACTTTGGTTTAATAAAACAAATAAAAATAAAATTAAAATGAGTGTAAGACTGTATGTAATTTTGCAATCCTTTTTTTAATCAATACAAAAAATTTTAAATGGTTTGTTTTTTGGGAAAATTTTTTTAATCAAAAATGTAAAATTGAACCTTTACACTTTTTGAGTCAGCATTTTTGGCATTCATTGCATTTACATTTACTATTTCCAATATTATTAATTAGCCTTGTTTTTTAATGCTGTAAACAGTCATAAAATATTCAGCTCTTATCAGCAAATTTGTGTGAGTGATAGGAACAAATTTATCATAAATGTGACACCATTAAGAATATAGGTAACTAGAACGTGATATCACTCTAAATTGAATTTTGTTAGTAATTCTTTATCTGCATAAAGGCAGTTAAAGAAAGAATACTCTAACCTATTTTAGAATTAAATTTTGTTGCGCTTTATGATAAAAGTTGATAACTCGAAATACATTTATACCCATAAATCCATAAATACCACCTAATAATCAACCAACTTTTTGCCTCATACTGCGTTAACCAAGCAACATACCTTTAAAGGACGAGAATACCCAAACCTAGTTTGGAAAAAGCAACAGAAAATCTTATCATAAAAAAACAGTTTGCCAATTTTAAAAAAACACTTTGATGATTTTTTTTCACCGGTTTAAAATCAAGAATCATTGTCCAACAGAAAAACTTGAATTGATCTTCTTGGAAACCACAAAAAGCATTTAAGCACAACTTTATGTACTCTTTTCCTAATTTCTCTCCTATAGAGAAAATTTGGAAGACGTAACTGTAACTATTAAATTATTTACAAATTTTACATAACATATTGATATTTAATCCAATTTGAAAAATCATAATCAAAAGTATATTTTATTAAAATTTTATATATAAAACATATTGTAAAAAATATAAAACATGGCCTCCAAAATAATAAAGTACAAATTAAACTATTTCTGTAAAAAACATTACAAAAAGTTTATAATATAAAAAAAATAAATATTTATATTTCTTTTTCACTTAAAAATGAACAGAAAAAAAAAAATGAAAAAGTAAAAACACACTAGATCAATAGCTACAGTTGACAACCAAGTTAATGATTTTGCATTTCCAAACTCGAACCCATATAGTAAAACTATGAAGCCACAAACAAATGTGATTCCAACACTAATAAACCATCCTATATATAAATACCAGTTGAATAGATAAGTTTTTTTTTTAACCATTTTTTTTTGTTCGTTAAAATTTCCATTTGAAACATCTATAACAAAGTGTTTTTCATTAAAAAATATGTTTTCTACTCAAAATATATTAATTATTAAATTAATTATTTACCTCATTAATTATTAAATTAAAAGTTTATTTAAAAAAAAAAAAAAATTAAGATCTTTTCTTAATTTGAGTTTGTGACAAATAATTGTACATACTATGCATTGGATATATCTTGTTGTTTTTTTTCATTTTTCCAATCTTTGATATTTTTATAAATCTGTTTGAATTGCTTTTAACATTTTTTAAAGAATTTAACCTTGAACGAAACATTTTTATTAATAACAGTTCTACAGGTAACTTGGCTAATGAAGAAACCAGCAACAAAAAAACCTAAACAGTTTATTAATATTTTTTATTGCTCAAAATCAAATTAAATTTTTTTTTTGAAAAAAATATACTATTAAAATTAGTTATACATAATTTATAGCATATCAAAAATATTGTATAAAAAATCTATAGAAGATGAAACTCCAGGTGGTTTTTGGAAAAGGGCTAATATAACGTCTTTATTTAAGCAAGGAAAGTTAAAATCAATAAAGTACAGGTCTGTGTCTCTTATGTCAATTTCATATATTTTATTTTATATATTCAATTTCAAGAATTATTGGTAATAGTATAATAAAGCACTTAATATCAAAGAAGTTACTAGCAAACAATCAGCATTGTTTTTGAAAAAGGAAAGAGCTTCACCACATATTTACTAAAAACTCTTGACATCTTAACAAAGGTATTATTGAATAATATTTCGAAAGATGTTTTGTATACAACAAGCATTCGAAAGAGCAAAGCAATGGCAAACATAACTAATATGCTAAGGTTGATACTAATGGTATTGTTGGTATGCCTCTTAAATAGATTGAGTCTTTTTTATCAAATTTTAAAAAGTAATATAAATCAGAACAAATGGGGTTAATGTATTAAGTTTTTTGTGCTCAGCCTACTCTTTTTCTTTAGAAATGTAAATAATTTACTAAGCAGATAATAATAAATGCTATTTGTACATCAATGAGAATAAAATTATTTCACCTATTTTTTCTGAGGTTGAGTTGAAATCGTTTCAACATTTTGGTTCGAGGTACAAAATATATCCTTATTTTATGAAAATATGTTTAGTTGTTTATATTTAAAATGATTTGAAATAGTAAAGGCATTTAAAAAATTATGCCAGTAAAGATATATATGCTTCCCATTATATGCTTCCAATATTGAATAACACTTTTATGTACAAAGATATATATCTCAAGGAGTTGCTTTATTTCATTTTTGTTAGGTCACATTTTTAGTTAGCAATTAAAGCTTGATATAAAAGGTAACAAAGAACTCTAAAAATTTTAACAAAGAGCCACTAAGACTTTCGTGAAACTACGACAACTGGAGTATAATGAAAGATTAAAGAAATTAGGCTCAACAACTTTAGAAGTTTGGAGACTAGGAAGTTACAATATAAGTTATGCAGTGGCCTCAAATGTATTGATATGAAGACAGTTTATGCACAATTGCATTCAATTTATATACTAGGCCTAGCCTCCAGTAGTAGAGGTTAGAATCATTGTGTCAGATCTGAATTTATAAAAAATTGTTTAAGTTAACTTGAGCACTTTGTTATAAAAAGAGTTGCTTTTGGATGGAAGAATTTGCAGGAATAGGTAGTGCAGTCTAGATAAGTTAAAAAAATCAAAAACAACCTTAAAAGGGTTGATTTACAAATGATATTAAAAAGAAACATAAATTGTAATAATTTATATTTATTTATTGAATTTGTAATACAATAAATAATTCATTCCTCTTATTTAATAAGTTATTATTGGTGTAAGATATTATGAGATACTTTTCAAATTAACAAAGCTTGCAACATTTAACTGAGGGATTGTAAGATTCTACAGCGTTTTACAATTTTCCATTTAATTGTTGAGCTTGCTCCACTTTTTTTTTAACCTCCATTCTTCCTTAGATAATTTAGTGTCGTTTTTATATTTTTTGATAGTAAAAGATTTTGTATGGTTTGCATATCTAACTATTGATTAACTATTGATTTGATGTTTGGCATACAACTGTAACTGACTTTTAGAGTATTTCTATAAAAAATCTTGTGGTACTTATGGCCAGCTGGGAAGTGTTTGTCTATTAAACTCAAAAAGAGTGTACCAATTTTGGCAGTAACATTTTTACTATATGGGGGGTTAAACCAGATTATATTACACTTCCAATTTTTTGATAGAGGTTGGATAGGTTTTGGAATATAGTTAAGTTTGAATTTGTAACCAGATTTTTTAAATGCATCCTGATATACATCGGATGAGTTTCGAAATATATTTTCATTAGATCGATTAGCTGACAGCCTTAATTTTATAGAACAAGGAAGTTGCTTTAAAATGCTAGAAGGGTGATTGGATTTAACATGTATATAACTTAGTTCATCATTTGGTTTACGAAACGGTCTAAAAGATTGATCATTGAGGTTCAGTGTCACCTCAAGAAAGTTCACAACTTTCATGTTTATTGTATAGAGATAAAAAGATTGTTATTTTTAAAAATTTGAATAGTATGTTTTTTTATTGCATTCATGTGGCGGCCACTTGCATTTTTGTAAAACTGCTAACCTATCGTCTCGGTATAAGAAAAATCTGTATAATGCTGGGATGGCTGAAAAAGTGAAATATTCCGACAAGCTTACATATCTCTGCTCCGTCAAAAGCACCTATTGCAATATTAAATAAACCACTGTTTTTTTTAGTCTAAGGTTGCTCTTTATTAAACTACAATGATATTCGGGCTTGTTTAATAATCAGTATATTTTAGTTTTTAATGGTTACATATTTCTCAGCAAATTTAATCACGTTATTCAAAAGATTTTCATTGATAGAAGGATAAATGCTTGTATAAATGTTTTGTCCGACATATTCTTTTGATATCGTTATTTAGTTTGTATTGAAAAGCGCTTTTTGTTTTACGAAAATTTATAGATTTAATAAGATTTAAATCAAGAAGTAAATCATTTTCAAAAGCAATCAAGTCTTTAACTTGCTGAGGAAATTTATCTGTATTGATGCCGTAGTTTGAAGAAATAAAGCCATTACTAATGCTACGAACTTTCTTATAAGCTATTACTATTGCTTTTGTAAGGGTAAATAAGCTCTTAGTACCATAAAAAGTTGTATTTTCTTCTTTTACAAGTTTATATATATATGTATATATATATATATATATATATATATATATATATATATATACATATACTATAATACATATATATATATATATATATATATATATATATATATATATATATATATATATATATATATATATACATACATATATATATATATATATATATATATATATATATATATATATATATATATATATATATATATATATATATATATATATATATATATATATATATATATATATATATATATATATATATATATATAAAAGAAAAAATATAATAAAATAATAGCAAAAGAAAAATAATAATAATAAAAGAAACTACAAAAAAAAACAAAAAGTTTACAGTTTTCTTTTCGGTATCTGGATAAGCTAGAAGAAGAGGCTTATAAAACATTGTGCTAATCACCATTGTAGTCATTATCAAGGAAACAGCAACAGACAACCGCTGGCATCTGGTAAAGTTACTTCTAGATGGAGAAGCAAATATTGAAAACCATAAATGTTCATCTAGAAATTTCTTATAGAACTTTGTTTTAAAAACAAAATGAAAATTTGTAGACTCTTCAATTGATGCTACTGGAATAACACAGTCTAAAGATTGGTTGCTATTAGTTGCGATCCAACGTTGACCAATAAATAAAAATTTTTTTTCAGTTTGAAGATCAGTGATAACAATATTTCTAGAAAGAAAAAATATAAGGGTAGTAGAAAATTACCTTTTTTATTAAAGTGTAAGGTAACCTTATTATTTTTTAGGGCTGAGAGTGTACTCATTTGGCATACTTTTAGTATTATCAAGTATCTTAAATTATAAAATTTTTAATTTTTAAAATTTTAAATTTTTTGTTGTTATATTGTCATTGTTTCAGATTTTACTTTAACTTCTGTTTGTTTGAAAAAATCCAGTTTTTATTTGTAAAATCTGTTTTCTATGTTTAAAGAGAATTAAAACAGTATGGCACCAAAATCATAAAAAAAAAAAAAAATTAATTACATTAGTTGTATTTGATTGAAAACTACTTTTAAAGATCAATCATTAAATACCAATCAACAAGATATATATGTATACATATGCAGGCACGAACTTTATCAGACAATGTATTAAAAAACTGATTCATTATTTACGCTAGACAAATTTGGTTAAACTTTTTCATTTAATTTAGTTTTTACGAAGGTTTATGCAAAGACGATAACTTTATTCCCCAATACTTAGACAAGAAAACAAATTGCTGTTTTAATTTTTAAATATATTATATGAGATTTTAAAAATAACAAAGTTTTAATGTGAAAAAAGTTCTTTCTCGACTTATTCTAAACTGATTATACTGAGTCAATGCTCGCATTTTATTACGTTGAAATTATTTAATTGCATAATTTTGTAATTACGAAAGAAAATAAGAAAATAATTGCATTGCTTCTGTTGTCATTGCTACGAAAACAGTTCCTTCGGGACATTATTATATACTAACACTCGTTCACAATGTCAATTAATGATTGCAAAAGAAGCAACTCAATCGTTTGACAATAAAACTTTCTTTCACTTAAAAAAAAAAACATATTTTATCAATAAATAGCAATCGCTTTTGTGTTTTTTTGTGTATCAATACATTCAAACATTTAAATCAATACATTTAAACATTTCAATGTATTTACTATTACATCATGAAAATGGCACAAACAAATTTCTGTTATTTACTTTAAGATTGCTTGCATTTTTGCAATATTTTCGTTTAGCTTTGTTTTAGAGCGAATTCTTGAAACGCATAATAATAAAACGTGGTCAGTTAGTCAGAAAAATTTATTCTATGCGTGGACAAACAAGGCATGCGACCGCACGTCTTTTCTGGGAAAGCCTGCACATGTATACATATATACGCATATGTATATATATATATAAAAATTGCACTTAATTAAAACAATAAAGTTTGGCCCTATAAAAAATAAATTTCAAACAGAATTAAAGTTAGATGTTATAAAAATTAAACCAAACCCTAATATTTTGGTTTTTGCTGATAAAACAAATAACATTTACCAACTCGCGACAGAAAACTATGAAAAAATCTTACGCTACAATATTACTAGTTCCATGAAAAAGCCCCTAAAAATATGGAAAATGAAACTAATTTAGAAGCAAAACGAATTGCTAAAAACATAAACCTTGATAACAGAATTGAATCAACTACTCCTACTGAAGCCTTTGTAACACTAAAAGACCATAAACAAAATTTTCAAAACAAACTTTCTTGTAGGTTATTGGTTCCCTCAAAAAGTGAGATTGGACATGTAAGCAAAGTTAAATTGGACAAAATTATAATATTATTAGAATTAAATTAAATTAGCAACAGTGGAAAAATACCACTGATGTTATAAAATGGTTCCCCATAATCGAAAATAAAAATGACTGTACATTTATTCAATTTGACATTAATGATTTTTACCCCTCAGTAACTGTAGATATTTTAGATAAAAAAATTGAATTTGCTAAAAGCCACACAGTTATTCCTGAAGAAACAATCCACATAACAAAACATTGTAGAAAAACCTTACTTTATTTTAATAAGGAGACTTGGAAAAAGAAAAACATACAGGGCTGCTTTGACGTAACAATGGGCATGTATGATGGAGCAGATATTTGTGAATTTGTTGGACTATATATTATCGATTTATTAAGTAAAATAATCAATACAAATAATTTGGGCCTTTACCGCAATAATGGTTTAATAGTAATGCATAAAAAATCTGTTCCACAGCTCGATAAAATTAGAAAAAATATTATAAAAATTTTAAAAATATTAGCTTTCAAATCAAAATAAACATAAATTAAAAAAATGTAAACTTTCTTGACGTCACATTTAACCTCTATGAAAATTCATGTAGGCCTTTCAAAAAACCAAATGATGAACTATTGTATACTAATATTAACTCAAATCATCCACCCCAATTTCTAAAACAAATTCCGATTTTAATTAATAACAGGCTAAAATGTATTCAATTCCTCTAAACAAATATTTGAAGATACCCTTAAAAAAAGTGGTTTTGAAAATTTTGAACTAAACTTTGACCCGAAAAAGAGCGTACAAAAAACTGAAAAAGAACTAGAAATGTAATTTAATTCCACCCCCCCCCCCCTCCCATATAGCAAAAAATTTTCCACTAACGTAGGTAAAGTGTTCTAAAATTAGTCGATAAGTATTCCCCCCCCCCCCTCCCTCTAATAAATTACATAAAATTTTAAGTCGAAATACAACTAAAGTTAGCTACAGTTGTACAAAAAACATGGAAAGAATTATAAAAGGTCACAATAATGCATTTTTAAACAAAAATTAAATCCTAAATGTAAAAACTACAGAAAATTGTAATTGTAAACCAAAAAACAATTGTCCACTGAGTGGAAGTTGTTTATCTAAAAATGTGGTATATAAATGTGTTGTTTCTTCTAAGAATGTACCTGATAAACAATATATTGGCATAACAGAGGGTGAATGGAAAAAACGTTTTGCCAATTATAAGCAATCTTTTAAAAACAAAAAGTATTCAAAAGACACCATGCTGTCAAAATATATATATGAATTAAAAGATAAAAATATCGATGATTTTATAATGAATTGGTCCATCCTTAAAACAGCACCTGCATATAACAATATTTCAAAAAAATGCATACTATGTTTACAAGAAAAATTTAAAATTGATACACATGCAAACCAAGATGTTTATTAAACAAAAAATCGGAATTAATTTCTAAATGCAGGCACAAAATTAAGTTTCTCCTAAAAAACTATAAAAACAAGTAAACTCAAATAATAATTACATTAAATCCCCTCTTTTAAAAAATGTTTTTTTAAAAAAGCAGAAGTAATCAAATCTAGAGAATTCCTTTAATAATAGTGCCAGCATATTCCACAAATGTGTGAAAATTTACGGTAGTTATGACATTTGCGACTTCCTGTAATTTAATTTTTTGGTATAAATTAAAGTTTTATTAATTTGATCATTAATTTCTGATAAGTTTTATTGATGAAAAACAGTGTTAATGAAAAGAATTTTTGCTTAGTGACTTTCTACTACGTAATAAATATATATATATATATATATATATATATATATATATATATATATATATATATATATATATATATATATATATATATATATATATATATATATATACATATATATATATATATATATATATATATATATATATATATATATATATATATATATATATTATATATATATATATATATATATATATATATATATATATATATATATATATATATATATATAAATATAAATGTGGTTGTCAAGCAAGAATTTATTTCCATGACGACACTTGGATATTATTTCTGTTTTTTTATTTAATAGTTCTTGCGCACCTTTGTATGATATTATGCAAAGTTTTTCATGAAGACAAAGCAAGCATTTTTTTGTTACGTTGCTGTAGGCTTAATTATTGACCAGGGTAATTTGGGTGTTATTTTTAAGTTTTCTTTTATCTGCCATATATACTTTGAAAGGGTGGTTGAATTTTTCATCTTTTTGTTTGTGAATGAGTGTTTGTGGTTAACCCATCTTTTCTTCCATTCACTTTCTGCTAGGCTAATATATACTTTTTCTGAGGTGTTAGGAGGGGGGGGGGGATGCAATTGCAGGGTCGGTATTCTTTTGGTTTTTTTGAATTGATTTTTATGTTGTGGCTTTTTATAATTTTCGCAATATCTTTGGTGCAGTTGTAACTCACTTTGATGGTGTTTCGATTGAATAGTTTACTTAGCGGGTGGGAGGAAGATATGTCCGACATTGGTAGAAAAGCAATTTACTATACGGGGGGTTGAACCATATTATATTTCTTTTTCTTTTTCTTTTCTTTTTTTCACTTTTTTAGGGATTATACTTTAAATTAAAACCAATGAAGCCATTTCTTCATATATCTTTTTGTATTCTGGTATAGATAAATTAAATGTTTTTTCATTTGAGGAATTTTGTGATAATCTGTCGTTAATAGAGATGTAAATTTGCTTTATTATTTGCGGAGGATGGTTGGACTCAGTGTTGATGTAACGTAGATATTCATTTGATTTTTTGAAAGGTCGGTAAGAGTTTTTTTTTAAGTTAATATACACACATATGTTAATGAGGATGTAAAATTTTCCTCCTGATTTTTTTTTTTTATTGCAAAATTTACAAGTTGCTTTTTAAGAATTATTTTTATCAATAATAAAAAAATTCCAGATTGGAATAATTGCTTTGCTAATTTTTTCTTATTTTGCTTAATCTCTAAGTTTATGAGCTAGAATATAGTTAAAAAAGTTTAAATAATTTAAGTTTACAATAAAAAAGAAAAGAGCACAAATTTAAATTTTGAGCCAATGCATTTGTGTGTGTGCGCATGTGTGTGAGTGTATGTAATGCCCACGGAATTAAGAAAAATGAGGTCTGCAATAAACTACCAACCTTAAACTGATAGATGTTGGCATCTAGTTGGCAAAAAGAAAAAATTTTACACAAAGAGATTACGACATAAGTTAAAACATAAAAACGAGGTCAGCAATTTTTAATTACTTTAAGGTTGGCAGTTAAATTGATACCCTAATTTAGAGGGATGATGTACACATATATATATACATATATATATATATATATATATATATATATATATATATATATATATATATATATATATATATATATATATATATATATATATATATATATATATATATATATATATATATATACATATATATAATGTATATATATATATTTATATATATATATATATGTATATATATATATATATATATATATATATATATATAATATATATATATATATATATATATATATATATATATATATATATATATATATATATATATATATATTTATATTAATTATAAATATATATATATAAATTAGAAACATAAAATAGTTTCTGCAAAGTTTTATCAATTAATCTTTGTTAAGTAAACTAAATATTTTTGAATTTTAACACTTCATTAAAATAACAAATAATAAATAAATAAAATCACAAAAATCAATTGAAAAATAGATGTTAAAAGATGTAAAATAAGTTATAACAATAAAATACTGATCTATAAAAAAAAGATTCAAATAAACAGATTTATAATTATAAAAAAAAAAAGAAAAGTAAATAAAATAAAAAAAAAAAGACTTAAACTAATATAGTAATGGATTAAAAGTGTGTAATATATAAAGATTTTTCTGTATCAATAAGGATATCTTTAATATGGATACCTTTAATATGAATACTATGCCATAATTATAAATAACACTAATAAATAATAAGCCATAGGAATAAATATATAATAAATAACAATAATTGTGAATTCATAAAAAATCAATACTTATACAAAACTTTGTCAATAATGAAGGAATCAAAAAAAGTTTTTTTGAGCTAATTGAAATATTTTACTTTATCATATTATATGTAATGATATTTGCATTTACCAATATTTACCAAATTTGTATACAATAAAAGATTTTAGGCTATTGGGAAGGTTAGAAAATACTCCTATTTTTAAAATATGTAAGAACAAATCTAATTTAAGTGCTTTGAGATTTTGTAAAATGTATTTATTTAAGTGGATGTTAATAAATATTTTAAATTGTCTTAATATATGAAAGTAATGCACAACAAAAAAAATGAGTTTAAAAATTTATTAAAAAAAGATAAAATAGTTTAATAAGAGTTTGCTAAAGCTTTTGCTTTAGCCTTAGTTAAATTTGAAAATAAAAAAACTTTACAATGTGTTTTGTCACTGCCAGTAAAAACGTTTGTTTATAAAAGTAAAGTTCGTTTAATTAATTTCGAAAACTAAAATCCTCCCCTTACACTTATGTCATATTTGAATAAAATCAACAAGATAATGATGTAAAAATCTCCTCTTAATACTTACTTTATGTACCACCCTCCCTCACTATTATCATGCCATATTCGAATAAAATCCAAGTCACCAAGTGTACTTTGTGTAGCCATTATTAAAACACTACAGCTTGATCTTTGAAAACAATCTTTTTCTAGAACTTTTAAACATCTCACTCCACTGTCAGTTACATCACCTATATATGATCATGAGATAGAAAAAATATACTTGTATTTTATTATTTAAAGAAATACATTTTCATAAATAATACCCGAGTATTATTTATGAAAATGTATTTCTTAATATTGAATATTAGTAAATGCATTTTCATATATTAATATTTATTATTAATATTAATATTTTCTACACTTCTCTGCAGAGTTTTTAACAATGCCAAAAGTAGCTAGAAAAAGGCCAAGGCCAAGCCCACAAGTTACATGGCCAAGGACAAGGTCAACAGTTTTGAGGTCAAGGTCAAGGTTAAGAGTTTCAAGGCCAATTCTTAACAAAACTGTTAGTAGCAAGTACTGTGAAAATAAAACCACATTTTGTAAAAATAGACCAAGTTTATGTGCAAAATTCAACAAAATCAATAAAAAAATAAGTAATTTTTTTTGGGCAAGGTCATAACAATTAAGGCCTAGGCCAAAATTTTCAAGACCAAGGCCAACATATTCAAAGCCAAGGACGAGGCCAAGGCCTAAATTTTTGGCCATAAGGCCAGGTCAAGGCCAAGACCAAGGCCAAGGACTAACAACTCTGCTTCTCTTATTAAATTGTTTACACTTCTGTTAAGTAAACTTAAACTTTATGGTGGTGAGAATTAAACTAATATTGGAGTTGTATGATAATAATATAAAATGTTAGCTTGCAAGTCTTGTGCTCATTGTTGGAACAAAAAATTTATAACTTAGTCTATTGAAAAAATGAGTTTCTTTTATTGCAAAAAAACAAACAAACAAATAGAAAATAAAGATTTATAAGTTTGATTAAGCAAGATATTTGGCAAAAATTGTTTGATTATTGAACACTACTCAGTAACAGGGTTAATTAAATTATAATTACATCTCTAATTGAAAGTTAATTGAGATAAATCGCTATGTTTTTTATATGAAGACTAAATGGGCTTTAGTTAGAAGAGTAATATTCCATAATTCTGGATAACAAGATTCACTAAAACACTAGTTAAATAATTTAATGAGTTCTGAGCCAAACTAGTCTTGATAACATTTATGTTATAAAGATCACTTGATAATATTTATGTTATCAAGATGACTAGTTTAGCTGCGAAGCACTTTCTTTAACTGACTTTCTTTAGCGACTAAAATTGAATAAGTCTAATAAAATTTAACAGATAACAGCTTCCTTGAGCTGCTGTTCTATTGTCATAAGGTGGGTTATCTTTCTCTTTCCTATAAATACTAATAGAGTTTCTTCTTAAATAAAGTATCATCACTTGATCCATAAATTGAATGAATTTTATTTTAACAAAGCTGTTCAACAAAAAAAGTATTCTATAAAACGTAACCCAAAGGTAAGGGATATTTTAAGACTGAATTAACTTTAAGATCAGTATTATGATCAAAGGCAAGGAAGTTATTGAAGTTATCCTTTTGATCATAAATATTTTAATCCTGAATTGAAATACTTTTATTATAACTTATTATTGACTTATCATTTAAGCGAATTGGCTGCATTAGGAATGTGTCTCTGGCTACAAAGTGTAAATGAACTTTAACCAGAACAATACCATCACCTAAAACTAAAGAGATGAAGAAACCTGAAGGTTCAAAAGATAAAACGGAAGAAACTCTGGGTTTTTTCTAGAGTTTTTTTGTGTAAAAGATGAAAAAATTTATCTTTAGAAATAACAGCTGAACAAGAAAAAAGATAACCATGGTAACATTATAACAAAAAACGATGGAATAGAGTGAGATTTGATAATCATGGAATAAAAAATCTATTTTTTTTGAAAGATTTCCACATTAGACAGCTCTTCATTGGAGATCTTTTTTTTGCATTAGCTTCTACAACAACTTATCGATTGACATGATTAAAATTAACTTCTTCAATTTTGTTTAAATGTTTCAATCTTTTCATGTTTAATCAGCAACAAAAAAAACACTTGAATAGTCTTCCAAAAAAGGTATTGTGCATTTAACAATAAATATTTTAAAAGAAATCAATTTCAACTTTTAAATTTCAATTTACCTTTGAGATTACATAAGATTAGAATAAAAAGTTGCTTAATGTTCACTTCCTATTTAAAAAAAAAAAAAAATCAGAAAAAGACTTTGGCAAATTTTTTGCAAAAATTGTAATTATCAATAAGAATTGGTTAAATTTAGGATGTTTATTTTTTGGAGATGGAACATTAACTTTATTAGAGACTTTATTTTAATACGAAGACAGGAAAAAGTTTGTAGATGAAGTTATATCATCAGTTGTAAGAATTTTATTAAAAGAATACAATAATAACAAGAGATACAACAATAACAAAAAATAAAAATTATAAATATTATGTTCAATTTTAATAAACTGATATTTTCTCTTTAACTTCTTATTAACTTATCATCTTATATCTCTCTTTTTATCTTTTTTTTTTTCTTCTTGTTAAATTAAAATCTATATTTAAATTTTCTTTAAATTGTTTGTTCAAGCGTTTGTTTTTTGTAATATGGCCTGTCATGTAAATATATATATATATATATATATATATATAATATATATATATATACTATATATAGTATATATATATATATATATATATGTATATATATATATATATATATATATATATATATATATATATATATATATATATATATATATATATATATATATACTATATATATATAATATATATATATATATATAATATATATAGAATAAGTGTCATTTAAAAGTGATTAAGGTCACATATAAAAATGTATAATATCTCCACTAAAAATTTAATAGCAAGGCTATCAACAATTGTAAAAATTTCTGTCCGGTTATCCATTGAATGAATGAGCGGGTACAAAGGTACACATTAATAAAATATTATTTTTGTAAAAGTTGTTTTTATGAAGTGTCATCAAAATCTATTAAATCAATGATGTCACTTGTTAAGAATTGTTCTTTTTTAAAATTTAGTTTTACTTTAAGTGTTTACACATTTTATGCAAGTCTTAATTACGGTTTCAAAATAGTAGCTAATCCACTATTTTGAGTGCCAAAGATGCACACCCTCAATTGACCATATGCCTAGCAGTTAACAAAGTGCATTTTGATGTGCATAAGGGTACTGATCTAGCATTTTGCACATATTCTTGTGAGTTAAAATAGCATAGTTATATCTTACGTCTTTCAGGTTTTGAAAGATTTTTTTCAGATTTAGTAAACAAGTTTGATAAATATCTGTTTTATCTAAAGGAAAATTTTGTACACAGGAGTAACAATGATAATCATTGAGTAATAACAATTAGGTATCTGAATTAGAAATTCAAAAAACATCCTAAACAATGTTGAATGTTTTCAAAAATTTTAATAGTGATAAAGAAGTTGTAAATATTATTATATTTATCTTCTTTCATATACTAAATTAACATTATTAATCTGAAATATTACAATTAATGGTTTTGAAGTATAAAAATAAATAAGATGAATGTTAAATTTATAAAATGATGGTTACCTGCCATTCAAACATGCTACCTAAACAGTAAATAAAGTGCAGGTAATTGGGTGTCAGGGTATCCACAAACAGCATTAGTTGGTATCGAATTCTGTTCAAATAAAAAATTATTTTGTAAGACCCCACAGCTTTATAGAGCTAGTAAGTTTACTGATAGAAAAATTATGAAGAGAAATGAACTGAACATAACATGGATTCAAAAAGATTCGAAAGCAAGTAAGAGAACCACACAACTGAATTAGTTAAGATTAGATACATTTGATCATTTATGAAAACATTTTGATCATCAAATGTTAGACATCAATCTTATAAATCAAGCTAATTTTATAAAAATATCAAACTCCATTGATGTTTGTATTAATTTAGTTGACTTGTAGGTGCGAAGCCATTCATAATTGTAAATATAATTCTACAAAATAGTAATGTGATTTATATTTAATTATGATCAAAAATCATTAAAAAGTTTCTACTTTTTTAAATATAAATGATTTATGAACTAACCACAAATTTTTGAACTCATCAAAAATTGCTAATTTTTAAAATTAAAATGAACTGAATAAATAATAATTTTTAAACACTGTTTGTATGCATATTACATACCGGTAATAGTAAGAAAGATGTTTGATTTTGTACCAGCATTTCTTTGGCTACCAGTAATCACTACAATTTTATACAAATAGTTATCTTCAGGTAAATTATCAAGAAGTGGACACACTCCAACCTAAAATATTTATAATAAAAAAACTATTTATAATAAACTATTTTTCAAAGTAGGTTTAAAAAAATAGAAAAAATAAATAAACATTCCGAAAATAATGCTTTACAGGTTTTTATTTGCATAATTGTTAAAGGTTTTTATTATCTAACTGTTAAAGAATTAAATAGGCTTATTTTTACTTAAATTTTGTTTGATCAGTGATTTTTTATTTGAAAAAAGGTCTCTTTTTTTATTCTTTTTTAAAGAAAAACGATATAAAAAACACTTAAACATCTTTGTTTTGTATTTAGACTACACAAACTTATAAAGGTTTATTTAAAATGACATATGTTTGTACAATTTACTTCAGATCATAAACATTCAATACACTTTACACCCTCTGTTTTAGTTATAAACTTTATTTAATAAACATATTTAAATGCCACAAGATATTTTATTAAAGGCTTAGTTTTATTTCTAAATGCTATACTAAATTTTTTTGAATATTTAATTTTTAAGAAATGTTTAAAAAAAAAATATTGCAAAAATTATTTTCTAATTTAATCTAACTTTTTCATATTAAATAAAGAATTGAATATTTAGAGTAATTTTGTTCTCTTACTGCAGTTGCTGGAATTTTGTGTAAAACTTTGCATTTGCTAACAATATGAAGAGACAATCTTGTTTAAAATTTATTCCCCAACACATTAAAACCAAACAAAAATGATGACCAACTCATCATTAGGCTGGTATAAACAAATTAAAAAATTAACTTAAATTTTCATTTTTTAACCACTTGGATATGCATACCATACCCTTCATAAAATGCTTAACACAAAATTTAGAAAACAATTTGTTTTCTAGTATGTTTTATTACGCATAAGTTAAAATGTCTGTTATATTTAATTGAGATTTAGTATTTTTATACATGTTTTGAATGTTAAAGTTCATATAAAATGGACATAGGGCCTCTTGATTCTTGGTATATTTATCTACATATGTCTATAATATTAAACATAAATGATAAACAATATATTTGAAACAAAATGGTAAAACAAATTCTATATTTTTTACTTGAACTATTCCTATTATTATTTAAAAACAAAATAATGAAAATCAAGCAACAAAGAAATTAAAATCTCACTGTTGTTGGATCGTACTTTTCTATTCTCCTGGTCAGTAGTAAGCCAAGAATCCATAGCATAATTATTAAAACAACAGTTACAAGAAGAATATACCCTGCTTTTAATTTTGTTATTGAAAACTTAGGAAGTGGGTTTGCAGAAACCAAAAAACTACCAAAAGCTGTTAAATGAGAACATTTGCATTTAGTGACCAAAAAGCTTGTACTATAATATTCAAGCTAAAATAAAATCATCAATTTAAAGATATTTAATTTAGGTTTCTCTCTCTCTTTCTCTCTCTTTCTCTCTCTCTCTCTCTCTCTCTCTCTCTCTCTCTCTCTCTCTCTCTCTCTCTCTCTCTCTATATATATATATATATATATATATATATATATATATATATATATATATATATATATAATATATATATATATATATATATATATATATATATATATATATATATATATATATATATATATATATATATATATATATATATATATATATATATATTACTGTTACCCGCAGTATCAGGAACTAGCTAAATGCTAATATATATAATATTATATTGTGACTTAAAGTTTCATGTGTTACCACAATCTTCAGGCAAGTAGTCAAAAGTTAATTTTGCTTCAATGTGTTTAGAAAAAATTTACGGTTTATATTAGTATTTTAGATCGTTATGGGACGGAAACTGTTTAGTAGTTAAGGTTAATGTTATTATTAATTTGTTTTTGGTTAATATATGTGAAGTTGTTGTATGTTTTAATGTTTGTTATAAAAATACGATTTAATAACAATGTGAACTGTTTTTAAAAATTATTGTATTAAAAATAAATGAATATAAAAATAAGTTTCAAAAGTGGGTATATAAATATAAATTATATTACGAAATATATTACAAAAGCTGTGTATGTGAATAATTTATTGGTTAGCCTAGAGGTGTACGAAATAGGGTTGCGTAGTTAATGTTAGTGGTTTGTTATGTTTGTAGCGAGCTTTGTAGTTTTTAAATAAAAACTTGTTTTCGTGGCAGCACTTTGATGTGATTTCGTTTCGTTTATTTAGGAGTTCATCAGGTTTAGGATAGGATATAATCGCGAATTTCTCGTATAGACATAGTGGGCACCTTTTGGAAATATTTGAGTAGGGGGGTACAGATTTCAGAATAGACCATGTAAATATTGGGGTTTCGTTAAAATTGTTTTTCAAATCCCAGACGTAGTTTGATAAGACGGTGGACTTTTTGTAATTAAGATTATTGAATGATGATTTGTGATTGCTGTATCTGTTTTTCCACTCGCCTTTCGTTAATCCAATATACACTTTATTGGGCTGATTTTTAGTTGCAATGATACATTTATATATAACGTTTGTGGATTTACCATTTTCCATTCATGGGGCATTCCGCTTCTTTTCGACAATTGCATTTTTTGTCATTATTTTCATTTTTTGGGAA